CTCACCTCAGCCTCCCAAAGGTGCGGGATTACAGGCTGAGCCACCGAGCCCAGCTGAAAGCCATTGTTTTATATTTCTGTAAATCATTTTTAAATGTCTGGATGAATAGAAGAAAGATTGCTCTCATATCTGTTTAGATATTTGAACAACAGATAGTCAATGTCATACATTATGCAGCCTCTGGAAAACTTCACTGTACACTTGTGAGAGAATGAGTAAAAAAAAGACAAATAATGAATTACCATCGTTATTAATTCAGTTTTGACCTGATGGGCCCCCTGAAAGGGTTTTGGGAACGTCCAAGAGCCCCCACACCACACCTTGAGAACCACAACACTAGAGCAAGATTTTTCAACCTTGGCTCAATTGTGTCTCGGGTCAAAGAAAATCTCTTTGCTGTAGAGAGCTGTCCTGTATATCACAGGATGCTTAGCAGCTTTCCTGGCCTCTACTCACCAGATGCCAGAAATACTGCCCCCCTCAACTGTGACAACCAAAAATGTCTGTAGACATTGCCAAATGTTCCCTGGGGGAGCAATATCACCTCCAGTTAAGAACCACTGCCCTAGATATAAACATGCAGCAGTATTCTCTCTCAACACCCACCCCAAACTATCTTCTACCTTGATAGTTTCTACCATAAGGACTGCAAAAGCTAAAAACTTACTTTCCCAGCTTCCTTTGCAGAGAATGCCACCTCTTCCTGTTGGGAAGAAGGCAGAGAAGCCAGGCATTCAGGCAGTCATCCAGCCTTCATGGGCTCATGTGTGAACAGAAACTCAAGGGTAATGCAGCAGAAAGACCAAGTGCCCAGATGCCAATTGTAGCAGGAGCCATGACACCAGCCTGAAGAATCAGACTCATGACTGACTGCCTCTAAAGATGCAACGAAATGGTTCTCTTTGAATCTAGGGAACTTCTGATCTCTACTCAGAAAGCTGCTTTACTGGCACCCAAGATAAATATCTTTTTGCTTAAGCTAGGATTAGCAGGTTTTTCTGTTCTTTGTAGCCAAAAGCATTATTAATTCATATAGTTAGAAAACCAAATCAAACACTTTAGTGAGTTATTTTAAGCCAATTAGTCCTGAAACCATTACTCAGTTCAAGAAATGAAACTTGCCAATCTCCCCATGTCCCATCCCAATCTCAAACCCCTCCTTCTCTTAAAAGGAACCACTAACCTGAATTTTACAGCCATAATTTTCTTACCTATCTTTATAGTTTGATCACCCGAATGCACACTGCTTGGTTTTGCCCACTTTTTCCTACTGTATAGGTTCTCTCTCCATTCCTTTCTGGCAGCTCTTTTCTCATAATGTCTTATTGTTTAGCTCCCTCATTTCTGAATTTCCTAATCCTGATGCATGCAGTTCTTTCATACCTTCTGTCATTGTCTTAATTTCCTTTAGCTGCCTTTGAAATATTAATATAGTTTCACCTTTTGGAGGCCCTATTTTCTAGTACGACTTCATTAACTATAACTTTATTATTCAGAGGAGCTATTCTCATTTTTTTTCTTATAATATGTTTGCATAAAGTTCAACCTCAATCCATTTCTGTTGCTCATATTTAAGTGAGGTGGGTAAGGGGAGAAGTGGGCCCAGAAGAGCTGTCCTAGTTTAATGGTTCCAGGGCACCCTCTTCTGGTTTTATAATAAACTATTAAAAACATGGCCTCTGGGTGTAGCTACTTTCTAAACACTTTCTGAGAGCTACTGCTCTGGCCTCTCTTCCTTTAGTTTCTGAGCTTTCTTCATCCTCTCATACCCTGTCAATCAGAGTGGCCCTAAAAGTTCATCTTTAGGGTGGGACTCTGTCCTTCTAGAAAGATCTTTGCTGAGGATCCAGACCACTCCTGTGGCCTCTAACTTCCTCCAGTCTCCTTGCACTCACCCACAAATCGGAGCCTGTAAAGTCCTCTCCCAGTCTTAACTGTTATCAGACATTCCCAAAATGTTCTTTACTCCCAGTAGGGACCCTCCCTTTTTGTTAGTGTAAATACTTGTGGAAAATTTCTGGGTTCCCTGATGGTCAAAATGATCAGGAGTCCCCTTTCCCCCAGTATAGCTGCTTTTCCTGTACCTAAGTCTCACTGCTGCTGGTGGGTGGTGGGATACTCTGTCAGTTAGTTCTGCTTTGCTTTTTTTTAAGACAAGTTCTCACTATGTTGCCCAGGTTAGCCTCAAACTCTTGGCCTCACATGATCCTCTCGCTTGAGCCTCCCAGGTAGCTGGGACAACAGACTTGTGCCACCACATCTGGCCTGTCAGTTAATTTTGTCTCTGTGTTTTTTCATTTGGGGAAGTGTTTTCTCTATTTTCATTAGAGATTAAGGGAGATTTCAAAATGACACTGTCTCCATCATGCTTTCCTTTTTAAAAACTTTAATTCATTTGACAGTAAACAAAAATAATTTAGATTTGAAAAATGTCTACTATATCATGAGGCTGTTCCAGGTTATTATAAATCAAGGAGATAAAATCACTCTGCATCCAGACACTAACCAAACATCAACAGGGGGCATACCCATCAGCTGTAGTTCTTAAAGGACATCTTCACAATACAGATGTCAACACAAGACGCAAAGTTAACCTCTTTCCTTCACCCTTAAATACAGCTTGGCAGTTTACACAATAGGAAAGATCTTCAGGAATTAGGCTTTTAAATGTTATTTTCTGGATCATTCATTACATGAACAATATTTGTGACTCCTTACACAAAACTTTGACTTTGGTAGTTTACCATGATATGACTTGATGAGTGTCTCGTTTTTAAGCCACTGTTGAATAAAAATTAACAATGATAATAACAACAGCAACGTTTTTTCTTATGAGTGTTTATTTTTAAAAACTGAGACAATTTGGTAATTATAAATAATTATTTTCTAAGTTGAACAATATATCCATTCAAATTAATTATATTCATTTCAGTATAGTGCCTAAGTATACCAGATAATCACTTGTGTCCCAATTTTACCAGGAATATATAGTATATGCAAGAGAAATATCTATTTATATTTATTTTCTGAATCATTGGCATATTCCTCTCTTATCTCTCATTGCTGTGATATATGATTACTAGAGAGAATAACCTTTAGTTCAGAAGGTTAGATTCAATGCAAATGAATACTTCCTGTGGAAAATCACACTAGTGACTGCCTCTAAAGATGCAAAGAAATGGTTCTCTCTAAATGTAGGGAACTTTTGATCTCCATTCAAAAAGTTTCTTTACTACACATTATTGTGGCTGTACCATGCTGGAGATTAAAATTGATGATAAGCATAAGTTTACTTATGTTGGGGATCAATTATGCACTCAATAAACTAGCCCATTAATACATTCTAGTTACCCATTCATTGCTTTGGAATTCTATGGA